GAAAGAGGAGGGAGGGAGACGAGGAACCCTACCACTTAAATCACAATAAGAAATGTTTTCGGTGGTTTCTTTGTTTTTTTTAAATCAGTATCAGAGTCAGAATGCTGCTGATTCTGTAGTATCTGCAGCATGTTGGTTCTGTTTGTAAAACTGCTTCTAACATTTTGATGTTTTTTGTTCTAAAAATCCTTTTAAAACTTCTTACTAAAACTAAGTGTACTAAAAGAAATTGGAAAAGTTCACTAAATATGTTGCTTCCTGCAGCCACCATTTATTTCACAAAAAAAAAAATAAAACTATTAGTGCAGTTGCTTTGCACTGTTGACCTTTTAATTCAATATTCACAGGACTCTATGCAATCCTTAAGTGCCTTCCATGATTCAGTAGCTTGTAGAACTGCCTCTAGCAGCAATATTTTGAAGAATTCATTTTCTGTTTGACTTTATCAGTCTCCAATGTCCTTGTGGAGGAATTTTGGCCCACTCTTCTTTACAATGTTGCTTCATTTCATTGAAGTGTGTCGTTATACAAACCTCAACTCATTGTATTAATAGGAGAGTGGTAAAATGAACTAAAGCATTTTAATTAGGTCTGAGTATAGGCTTTGACTGATCCATTGCAAGACCTTGATTCCTTTCTTTTTTTTACCCATTCTGATGTAAATTTGCTGTTTGGGATCATTGTCCTGCTGGATGCCCCAGTTTCAGCCAAGCTTTAGCTGTCAGACAGATGGCCTCACATTTGACTGTAGAACAGGGGTGCGGAACTCCAGGCCTCAAGGGCCGGTGTCCTGCAGGTTTTAGATGTGTCCTTGATCCAACACAGCTAATTTAGATGGCTAAATTACCTACTCAACATGTCTTGAAGTTTTGCAAAGGCCTGGTAATGAACTACTCATTTGATTCAGGTGTGTTGACCCACAGTGATATCTAAAACCTGCAGGACACCGGCCCTTGAGGCCTGGAGTTCCCCACCTCTGCTCTAGAATATACAGCGGAGTGATATACAGAAGAGTTCATGTTCAAATCGGTGACAGCAAGTTGCCTACATCCTGTGACCGCAAAACAAATCAACCCTCCACCACCATGTCTGAGAGTTATATTAATAGGGTTCTTTAAAGCTCTTCAAATTTTCATAAATATCTGAGAGTGTTTTTTAAATAGCACATTTGTTATGAGAAAGACTTTTAGTTGTATAACAAGTCATGCAGGTTGATAATATCAATGGCTTGTTCAGTTTGGCTATAGGTTCAAAGCTGTAACTGTGCGCTAAATGAAAAAAAAAAATCAATTCTGAGGCTTGTGGAGGAATGTTTTCTTATCTTAAACTGCATCTTCACAACACCTACAGAAAACATTTAATAGTTATATTTATTTGCTCAAGCCATCATTGGAAAAAAAATTATATAAGTCAAGTCAGTTGCAGTATGTTTACATTTTACGAAAACTTAAGTTCGTACCGTAATAGGTATGTTCTTTAGTACTTAAAAAATGTATTACTCTTTACTACTTTCTGAAAATCCCGAAGAAAATTATCCTATCATTGAACATTAGGAGCACTTTCAGATTATAGGAATGGTTGAATACAGCCATTTTGGTACAGCCAGGTTTTCACTTTGAGCCGCCTTCTTCCAGTCATCCCAAATACCCACTGCCTTACAGATACAGGACTTGAGGTTCAAGGATACCTGAATTTGGTACAAAGTTGGAAAAATTGATATACCCTATGACATTTGCAGCTAAGTTAATCAATACTTAACTCAGGGTATCTCACGGTATATCTCAATGTATGAGGTAAAAAGTGTGATGCAAGTTGAGATATTGCAATCTAAAGTCCGCAAGCTGCAACATCTCAGATTTACCAATGTTAGTCAAGTTAAAAGCTACAAATTTGAAAAGTAATGCACACCTCTCCCATGTTTAAAAGTACAATTAAAGAAAGGGATAGAGGGCTTAAGAGAACAGAAATAATACATACAGTTTCATTTGTAGTTCTTTCTGCCAAAGGGCCGATAAGCTCATGCCATGGTGAGCCATCCATCTTCCATCCATCCATCCACAATTCACTGGAATCACTCCTCTGCTTTAGTGAAACTTGCAAACAGTGATCACCTAATAGGGCTTCACCCAAACTGTGCTCAAGGCAAAATCTGTCATTTTACAGCAATAACCTGTGAATTATGGTGAACTATGAGTGGTTTTGTTTTTGCAGGTTTATATCGTAGTAACATACCTTTCTGCTAGTAACGAGGATGTCCGAGTACCATGAGTGAATTCGATTTTGGGCTCATGAGCTGCTTCTTTTATGCAAGTTTGCCCTCCTGTTAACGCTGTTGCTAATGTTTAGTTATTTGCTGACAAGCATCATAAACAGGTTTAGCTCCATTTACACCTGTTCACTGAGGGCAAAAGATCACAGCAAAAGACGGGAAGGAAAGTTGCTGCATAGAGTACAGTTTTGTAAGGAGTAAACCCTCACATTAGCCCAAAAATCAGAGTGAATTACATCTCCTTAACTGCAAAAAGATTAACTATTCACTATTAAACACAAGCAGGCTGTCTCAGTTCTTACACTTTAAAATACATAAAAATAATTTGAAAAAATACACAGAGAGACCTGTGTAAAAAAAAAAAAAGATTTTTCACATCCTTGTAGGATTTTATACCTGCAAATAAAGCACTGCGGGTATGGAATGAATGAAAATGCTATTAAAGTGTTAAGCTGCAACCCTAAGAGAGGCATGGGCCTTTCTTCAGCTGGGGGAAATATGGATGGCCTTTGTAAATTAATAGTGTTTGTTTATATTTTCCCTGAAATTAACAATAAAACATCCAATTAGAAATGAAATGTTTTATCAGTTTCAGTGGTTTCATTTCTCCCTTTACCTTTTCCCACATTGCTACTGTTAATCTGTTTGTGAAAGCACGTAGGCCACACTTGCACAGCAGCAGTAAAAATTAACCTTCAAATCTAATTAAAACTTCAGATGAGGAGAAAAAAAACGGCCCCCTTGGCTGATGTGTGATTAGTTTGTTAAATCTGCAAACAAATTAGCCGAGTGAACCTGTCACGTTTATTTTGCATCCATGGCACTTTTTTTTTTTTTTTTTTTAGCAAAGTGGAATATAGAATCTGACAGAATGACATCAGCCAGACAGAAAGGATTCTCATGCATGTATGAATTATATGATGGGAAATGAGAATTTAAGGTTCTTGGAAGTCCTTGCTGAATTTTTGTCATTCAGAAATTGTATTGTTTTATAGTGGTTGTAACAGGATTATAACTGTAATATTATCCTGGTTAAAGCTGGGGGATTTTTATTTCACTTAGAATCTATAATTAAGATTTGCCTCGGTAATAATAACCTGCCAAATAGCTGTAATAAAACTGCACACTTGCCAACAGGCCATCATCATATCAGAGTTAAAGGTAGTGCAAAGTGATGGGATTATACTGACATCTGGTGGAAGATGGTGGCACTTGAAGAGTTTTTATGGAAAACAAGCTCCCAGAAGATACTTGAATGACTCTTAACACCAACTGATTTTGATTTGTCTTTATTTACATTTAATACTGTCAATGCAAACTCTTCTGCCTGAGGCTGAAGAGCACAAGTGGGTGTATAGAAAACGATACATAAACAGATATGATTTAATGAAATGTACTGAAGCTGAAATTTGCCCATCTATAGAAGTGCTTTAAAATAAAAACTTTATTCTCTGTAGAACATTGTGAGAACACACACCCTATTAGTTTTGACTTTTATTCATTATAGCCAGGGTTCATAAGCCTTAATAAAAGTGCTTTACACCACAATATGCGAATAATTATTGAAACTACGATACTAAGATAGCTTTGTACCATAAGACAAATCTTACCAAGTACCCAAATGGTACCATGACTACATTACCATTAGCAATTACAAATGCCATTAATACAGAAAATATATAAATATAAACGTTTTTATTTATTTAATGATTTATATGTGCACAAATTCATACACATTTTGTTTGGCAATAAAGTATGGCACCTGGTGTGACAGCCTTTTTAGCTTCATTCCATGTGAACCGGAAAGCATTAACTCCTGAGCTCCAATTTGGAGTTTTCTGCATGTGAGGGTTGAACAGAGACAAAAGACATGACATCAAGGATCTTTAAGACCGCAGTGGAGTCACAAAGTCAAAAATGAAAACATAAAAAGGTAAAACAAAGGTGATAAGGTATAATGGCATTGCATAACATGACTGTCAATACCACAAATAAAGACTGTTTAAACTGCATCAGTATATGCCCTTAAAATTTTGAGTGAACTTAAAATGACTCTAACTAGAAGGCATTTTGAAGAAGCTGGTAAACAAAACATTTGGTTTACAAAAAAACAGTGATTATGATTTCAAGCAGAATTAGGATTGATTGGCATTGGGCATTCAGGATTAAATTTAATTTATGGTATTCATGCTCATCAGTGTAACATCTGTGCCTCCAGCTCTTCATTTTTCTCCCAGCATCTCTCACTCATGGGCTTAACATTAGAGGTCGCCCTGTTCTGAGGTTGGAAATCATGTAAAACTTTTAATAGCTAACTGGTGCCGACCTCTGAGGCTAACCTTGACAGGCTGCAATTGAACTGGCGCTGGGTGGGCGTGAGATGCTCTGCTGAAGGTTACTCAACACGGTGATGAGAGGGTTGTCTGCTGGGATCATAATTGTAGTTTTTTTCCCCCTCCTGTTGAAAGGGTTTGATTAAAGATGTAAAGATGTGGAGTAGATGTGAAAGTCTGATGCAAAAAGAGAGAGAGCAGCTGGGCAGGTGACAAGTTGAAGTTAATTTTTTCTTTTTTATTTCATCTTTCATGGCATGCAAATGGCCTTCCAAGGACATTTAGCAAAATGTGTCCTTGTTAAAAAGGACAGGACATAAATCCCATATTTTGATTGTGCTTCAGTTCGCCACATTAAAATATTTCAAATCTTTTTTCTTTTTCATAAAAAGCATGTCTGAACCAAATTAAAAAAAAAAACCTCTATAATGTAGTGAATAATACAATATTTAACACAGAACTGCACCCTTAGATAATCTTGCAGATATCAACTTTTATCTGATATGATCAAGCAGTTGAGTTTGGCATGTGCACATTTTGCATCAATCAACCTTGTCTCTGTAGGTAGCTAAATACATCCAAAGTGCCATTTGACACTGCCAGAATAAACTTAGAATTTGGCAAAGGCACTGAAATGTAGAGTTGAGACTGGAAATTCCGTCATTTGTCTGTTCAAGAAATGAATATAGCCTCAAAGAAATAGCCAGATAATAATCTATACAATACTGACAGCATCTGTTCTCGGCTACCAAGTAAATGCAGTTCAATATAATGTTTCAGTTTCAGTAGTACACCTTATCTCTGCTAACAAGACTCTTTCATTATCTATACTATTAGTGTAGAATTGAAAACATTCTCCACTTTTTGATTTCTTCTTCTCTAAAGGTATTTAGACAAAGGTTTCCTTTGTCCCTGATCCTCTTTAGTCCTTCATCGAACCTTCATTTTTTTTGGAACATTAAGGCTTTCTTAAGGAAAACGACTCCTCCAATTTGCATCTTGTAAACTCCCAGAGATCATTTCTTGGAATTGGGTGTAATCACAAAAGAAAGCTCAGGTAGAGTCATTTGGTAGTTTTGCCTTGTTCCAGATTTCCTCTGTGAATCTCGTTGAGGACGACATCATTGTTGGAGCTGTCAGATATCCCGCTGTCCGCGAACACAGAGCCTGCAGGCAATGAGAACAATGTGTTATGAAGAATATATTCAAATATGCGATGTTTGAAAAGGACTATCTGCCACCGCATCACATACCACTGCTATTGGTGCCATAACTGACAACAGAGGAGCTTCGAGAAGTGAACTTTGGATCCAAGGTGATTGCACTGGAGCGAGAGATATTCTTCTTGTTTTGTGTGAATGTTCGACTCCAATCTGTAGAATACATGACTGTTTAACCAAAAATAGGCTGAAAATTGACACGTTTGTTTGCTTTCAAACTATCTGCTTTTTTAAAAGGCAGGGTAATACGACAAGATTTCACTTTGATTTTCCTGTCACATTCTTTAAAATCTCTGCCAAATCTCTTGTTAGGTCAAAGCAACCCAGCAACACTTTTAAGCCATTCATATTTATGCTTATCTAAAGGCTTAAATCTAGAACATTAGCACTAATTAGCAGTTATCTATCAGGTATGTAGCTAATATTTAACAAATGTTTTTTGGCTTTAAAGCAGTCAATCCTCAAAAAATCTGAAAGCCTTCCCAGAAAACAAGAAAACAAACCAAGTACTGCGAAGTACTGTAGGAGTGGTCTACTAGTTTTATGTCAATTCTAGAGTTCAGCAGTTGGTGAGAGGCAAGTTCAACCCATTAGTCGGGGCATTAGTTTCAGAAAGATAGAGAATTCAACTGTAATTAGCTGGTTTATGATAAGCAGTAAACTATGTGGATTTAACAAGTTTAACTTTGGATTTAAACCTGAGCTCTCCTCACACATGGATGTGAATGACATACTACATCCATATATCATATCTTTATTTAGATTACTTTAAGTTTTTATTTAAATGAGTTCTTATTTTGGTGGAAATTAAGAACAAAATTTGAAGACAAAGGTTCTAAAGCAACCACTGTTTACTCTGTTGTAACCAACTGAACTACTATAAAGTGCTTCTAAAGAAATCTTTGGGAACATTTAGTAATTTCACCTGAGTTCTCAGCCAGTCGCAGTTTTCCACAGCAAAGGTAAGTTCTCCACTGCCTGCGGACATTCTCTTTTATGGCGCAGTGGAAAACAAAGACAAAGAAACCTACACAGGAACAGTAAGGAAGTAGCTTATAGTATACATCCATGCATTTTATAGTGTTATTATTGTGTTATTATATATTTGTGTTATTATGATAAAAAATAATCAATCCTATTTAGAAATTCAAGGTGTTTATACATATGTCACCTTGCAGAGAGTTGAATATAGAAAAAAGGTAAACAAAGGGTAAGTAGAGGGGTCCCCATGCAAACAGAGCAAACCCCCAGGTAAGGCCGAGGATGATGACGAGGCCGGTGACACTGCGCAGATCAGTCATAACACTTCTTTTGGGAGACTGGTTGTGGGGGTTCTGCTTCTTGATACGTGAAAGCTGTCCCATAACAACGATGAAGGCCAGCAGGCACAGGATAAAGATCAGGAGGAAATAGGCCACCACACCCACATAGAAGGCTATGTTATTACTCAGCCAGCAGCTACAGAAAGAAAACAAAGGAGAAATGACCAAGGGAACATTTTAGCTTCAAAACAGTGATAACTTGTTTTCTTTCTCTTCACTTAGGTTGCTTCAAAATTATTAGATGCTGTGGCGACACAACTAAAGCAGTGTGATTAATCAAAGGTTAAGTTCTTTGCTAAGGTGGCTGGACCGTCTAATTTGTTGATGTGTATGGCAAAATCCATTTACAGTAGTTGAACAGACCTTTCCCACAGGGATATTTTGACTCCTCACTTGGAAAAATCACTCTAAAATTCATAATGGCTCTGTTTCAATATGTGCATCAGACTCAATAATCCATGCCATAAAGCAGCCTCATGGAATGTGAGAATCCTGGAAGTTGCATAGTGTTTTTAAATCATCATCTCTGATCAGTGTTGGGAGAATCAAGTTAGGACATTTTTCCACAGTTGCCACTCCTGGGAAATACTTTGGTTTAGGAATGGTGACATTAGTTCAACTGGTTATTGCACAGTTTCATACTCAGGAGCTGAAAAATGGAAATGGCTGATTTCCTGACATTGCACTACACTCTTACGGTCCCACCAGAGCATCTCAGTGGGGATGAGGACTGGACTTTCACTGGGCCAGTTCAGCACCTTAATTCTTTCCTTTGCTACTGTTTTTGGGATCTTTGGGATTTTCATCAAGGTTTAGCTGTGGGACTGATGGACACATATTTGCCTTTAGAATACTAGTATGTATAGGTCCTATGGTTTAAAAACAAGCCTAAATCATCAGCCTTTAATCATTGTGCTTGACAGTTTGTATGCAGTGTTTATGCTGATAAACTGTTTTTTGCCAAAAATAGAGCTGTGCATTTTGTCCAAAGATCTCTGCCTTGGTCTCCTCTATCCAAAGGGAATTGTTCTAAAATTATTGTGTTTTTTCAGTTGTAATTTTGCAAATATAAGCCATGCTGCCATGTCCCTTTGAAGAGAACAGGTTTTCTCCTGGCAGCCCTTCCAAATAAGCTATATTTTCTCTGTCTTTTTCTAATTGTACTTTAATGAACCTAAACATTTAATATGTTACCACTGACTTCTCTATGATTGCTGCTGATGTCTTTTCTGCTTGGCATTGTGTTAACACACACCTGAATGCTCCAGAGCAGCAAACTGCCAACACTTGCTGATGATTAGTTAATTCAGTGTATTTTATTAAGAGAACCAGGCTGCTGTTTACCCTCTTAATTCTAATGGAAGCAGTAATGGTATACTTAGTTTTTCACATGGTGCTTGTACATTTTGGCTTATTTCTGGTTAAATAATGCCACTGTGTAAAATCGTGTGGTATTTAAATAGATAACCTTTATTATATTTTTTCAAGAAATATGTTTAACCAACATTATGGGAATGCTGCTTACTCTCAAATGCCGTTTAGGAAAAGCACAGACTGCACTTTCCAAAATGTTATTAACCATTCAAAATATTTTACACTACAAGCCTTATTCATCTCATTTACTATTCACATACACGATCAGAATTCAGTATCTTGCCCAAGTAAGTGTTCTATCTACAGTACTTAGCCATAGCTTCTTGGTGAGTTTAATCAAGAAAATGGATCTAAAGCTTTGACATACAAAACAAAATATTAAAAAATAACTCACAAGTTATCTGAAGTGTCATTTGTGTGTTTTCCATAATTAATCAAACCATAGTTGTTTTTGTCCACGGATATCACAATAATTACAATGACAAGAGGAATACCTGCAAAAAACCCAAGGTTAATCAAAGGAAATTTATGAACATATTTAAAATGTTGATATAATGAAAAATTAATAATTGATCATCTAGTAAAAGTTTGAAGATTCCTACCCCAACCCGTCAAAGTGAACTTCAGCATGTACTGGCTCAGGTAGGGTGTAAAAACTCGCACAATGCTGAGATACATATGCAGGGCCTCAAGCCCCGCCCATGTAAATGATGTCAGCAGGAAGTAGTGCAGGAAGAAGGCAGTACAAATACAGAGGCCTGTATTGTTGTGGCTCGCCAGCCAGCTGTCCAGCAGGAACACCAAGTTCAGGAAGAGCAGAGATAAACAGAGTTGGACCAAGATCTTGGCTGGTATATCCCTTAGCAATTTTCTACAAAGACAGAGTTTAATAAAGAACGTTAAGAAATTTATAAGACTAAACAGTAATGATTGATGTGCACCAAAATAGATCCTTACGGAAAAGAAAGATACGTCAGCAATGTGATAGCAAGAAAAATAGCAGAGATTCCACAGCCAATGTAGGTGATGAAAGTAAGAATTTGTGTGTTCTTCTGGTCAGGAAGTTCCTGTCTGGACAAATCCTGCATGGAGAAGTGGCATACACAACAAACAGACAGTGAACACAAACTGAGGCAATTTGTTTCCGTTGCTGGTTGTTATAAATTATACATGAAACAGAAACAGGTGCACAAATTCACACTAACCAGCAGTACTGCAAAGGATGTAAGATGGCTGCAGCTGCAGATTGTATATTCAGGGGTGCTGTTGACCACAAAGCAGCCAACAGAGCTCCAGCCTCCTCCACCACCTGAAAAATAACATCAAGGGCAGGAATATTTACACCTGGGGCTTTCTGGCTCTTCACAGACACTGTTTGAAATGTGCAAACTCACTATTCAGCGTGAAATCCCAAAATGCACATTTGGCTGTGTAGTTTTCCTACAAACCAAAAACAATTTGTTATTACAGTTTATCTTTTTGTGAGCCTATATTGTTTATAATTGCAGTGATATAATGTTATGATCATAAGTGAACAATACAAAACTACTAACGTGCTGCACATGACACTCACATGAACCGGGTTTCTGTTTCGGATGGTGAACTTAATGTTTTCACTCAGGTTGCTAATTGACAGATTAGCCACACTTGAGCTTAGAACTGCGCTGACAAGAGTTTTGTTATCTAATGATGCATCCTGCAAAAATGAAGAAATATACAGAGGTCAGTTACAGGAGAATGAGATTCGCTTTAAATTTAACCCCTTTCATATAGGTCATAATCAATTAGATAAATCAAAACAGAAAATAAATAAATACATTCTGATATGACAGTGAGAAAGCACCTTAAAGAATGAATTTTTTGCATAGAAAGTAAACTGGACGCTGTTGGCCTGCTTCTGCTCTTCAGGGCTGATACCAGATGTGAGGGAGGCAGGCAAGTATACAGACGCCAAAGCAGGCTCTGAGCTTTTCATGGTCCTTTTTGGGCCACTGAACTGAAAACACGCAATAAATAAATAATTAAGTGGTAGGTTTGGGTTTAGGTGTGGTTGAGCCCTTAAATATGTTTATTTAAAAAAAGGCTCTCATGTGAGGACCAATGTCTCTTGATGAGCAGATGACTACCTGGACATGATCAGTGTTAAAAACATCAAAAAGGATTGTTGTGAAGTTGCTCCCATTCACTGTTTTCACAGCAACAACTAAGGAACTGGTTGACAGAATTCCATCGCCACCAGTGACAGCCAGTTTAACACCCAGATCATCCACCAAGTGAATCAGCCTGTCGCCAAGAAATACAACACAAACATCAGGGGGAAAAAAATCACATTTGCATGTGTATATGTTATTTTCTTTGTTTGTTTTAAGACAGACGTGTGTGTTGAACCTGTTTGCAGATTTAGAGAGTGCCTCAGGGTTACTGTCCATCAAGTTACTGACAACTTTGATTACCACTGATGGTGAAACAGAGGGACTGTCCAGATGCTTCTCCAGTGTCTCAACCAACACTGACACCTTAAAATTCCCAAATGAGACATTAAAATAAACAAACACAGTCGTTATCCATTTAAATGTTAGTTGCACAACAGAGCAGCAGAGTGACATTTACTTGAGAGGCGTTGAGCAGAGATATAGCCTGTGTTTGATTCAACAGGTAGACTGCTTCATCAGTTGTTTGTACATCAGTTGTGGAAGTTCCTGTGTTCTCTACAGGAACAAATCATCAAATCAGTAGATCTATTTTTTTGTTCTGTAGCTTAAAACTCGATAGTAATAACTTTTTAAAAAGGTTAAACTGCAGTATCTACATACCAGCCACTGTGGTGGTTGTAGTAGTTTTGGTGAGCGGTGTTGTATAAGTCAAAGAAACCTCAGCAGTTGTGCCATTTAAATCTTGTGGACCATGACCTGTTATAGTAGTTGCAGTGGTTGCGGGTGAGATAATAACAACAGATGCATTTTCTGTTGTTGTTGTCGTTGTTGTCGTTAAACCGGCCTCTGGTCTGTCATCTGTTTGGACGGTGCTAGCAGCTGTGGTGGACATGGTTTCATTTTTGCTTATTGTTGTGACATGAGTCAAACTCACTGTGGTGAAATTTGCAGTCTGGTTCTTCAGTGGAGCTGAAGTAGGTTTAGTACTGTGAGACACTGCAGCAGTTGTGCTTTTCTCTGTGGTTCCAATAATTGCAGTTGTTTTATTTTGAGATAGAATAGTCGGAGTAATGATCACTGGTGTTGTGTAATTGTTAGAGGCTGTAGTTGTGCTCTTTATCATTGTGTAGTTGGGAGATATTGTTGTTGTACTAACTGTTGTGTTACTGGTTGTCGCCACACCATTGTGTAAAGTTGTGCCAGCTGTTGTTACATTGTACATTGCTGTGTAATTGTTGTCAGCTGTGGTTGCAGCATACACAAGGGTGTAATTACTACCAGATCCAGTTGCATTATAAACTATTGTGTAGTTGTTGTTAGTTGCAGTTACATTAAAATTGTTGCCAGATGTAATTGCATTATACACTACTGTGTAATTGATGACAGCTGTGGATGCATTATACATTGCTGTATAATTATTACCAGGTGTAGTTGCTGTGGAACTATTCATAGTTGTAGCTGTACTAAAGTTGCTGGACACTAATGTGGAATTACTGCCAGGTGTAGTTGCATAATTAAGTGTTGTGTAATTTTGGTTAGTTGTATTTTCATTCAAATTGGTCCCAGATGTAGTGGCATTATGAACTACTGTGTCATTGTTGTTCACTGTGGTTGCATCGTAAACCTTTGTGTAACTGTGCCCACCTGTAGTTGTATAATTATTGCTACCTGAAGTTGTATTTTGTGGGATTATGTAATTGTTACCAGCTGTGGTTGTGCCATCGACTGTTGTATAATTGTTTCTCTCTATAGTAGCACTGTGAACTGTTGTAGAATTATTGTTGGCTGTGGTTGCGTTGTAGCTGTTGCCAGGTTGTCTGTCATTGTTTCTGACCGTAGTTGCATTGTACGCTGTTGTAAAATTATTGCTGGACATAGCTGTATTGTACAATGTTGTAGAATTATTGCTGGCTGTAGTTGTGTTGTAATTGTTTTCTGACATAGCTGAATTGTAGGTTGTTGCGTAAATGTTGCTGGCTGTAGAATTATTGTTGGCTGTAGTTGTATTATAACTGTTGCTAGTTTGTCTGTCATTATTGCCAGAAGTAAATGAATTGTACAGTGATGTATTGTTCAAAGTTGTTAGAAATGGGCTCACTGTTGTGTAATTGTTGTTTGCAGTTGTTGTATTGTAAATATTGCCAGTTTCTATGTAACTGTTACCAGCCGTGGTTTCACTGTACATTGTTGTGTAATTGCTACCATCTATAGTTGCATTATACACTGTACTGTCATTTTTGCTTGTTGTAGTTTGAGTGTATACTGTTGGATAACTGTCGGCAGCTATAGTTGTATTGTATGTTGTGTAATTGTCATCAGTTGTTGTTGCACTGTTGACTGTTGTATAATTGTTTCTGACTGTAGCTGCATTGTGTGCTGTTGTAAGATTATTGCTTGACATATCTGTATTGTACAATGTTGTAGAATTATTGATGGCTGTAGTTGTGTTGTAATTGTTGTCTGACATAGTTGCATTGTACGCTGTTGTATAATTGTTGTTGGACACAGCTGTATTATACACTGTTGTAGAAGAAATGTTGGTTGTAGTTGTGTTGTAATTGTTGTCAGTTTCTCTGTCATTGTTGCCAGATGTAATTGAATTGTACACTGTTGTACTGTTCGGAGTTGTTAAAAATGGGCTCACTGTTGTGTAATTGTTGCTGGCTGTTGTTGTATTGTAAATATTGCCAGTTTCTATGTAACTGTTACCAGCTGTGGTTTCACTGTACACTGTTGTGTAATTTCTACCAGCTACAGTTGCATTATACACTGTACTGTCATTTTTGCTTGATGTAGTTTGAGTGTATGCTGTTGGATGACTGTCGGCAGCTATAGTTGTATTGTATGTTGTGTAAGTGTCACCAGTTGTTGTTGCGCTGTTGACTGTCGTATAATTGTTTCTGGCTGTAGTTGCATTGTATGCTGTTGTAAAATTATTGCTCAACATAGCTGTATTGTACAGTGTTGTAGAATTATTGTTGGCTGTAGTTGTATTGTAACTGTTGCCAGTTTGTCTGTCATTATTGCCAGAAGTAATTGAATTGTACAGTGACAGTGTTGTTGCGCTGTTGACTGTTGTATAATTGTTTCTGACTGTAATTGCATTATTGTCAGAAGTAACTGAATTGTACACTGTTGTACTGTTCAGAGTTGTTAGAAATGGGCTCACTGTTGTAGAATTATTGATGGCTGTAGTTGTGTTATAATTGTTGTCCGACATAGCTGAATTGTAAGTTGTTGCGTAAATGTTGCTGGCTGTAGTTGCATTGTGTGCTGTTGTATAATTATTGCTATCTGTAGTTGGTGGTATTTTGTAATTGTTACCAGCTGTGGTTGTGCCATCGACTGTTGTATAATTGTTTCTCTCTGTAGTTGCACTGTGAACTGTTGTAGAATTATTGTTGGCTGTGGCTGTGTTGTAACTGTTGCCAGGTTGTCTGTCATTGGTGCCAGATGTAAATGAATTGTACACTGTTGT